CTGAAAGTTAACGTTTACTTAAAAGAGCTCCATAAATAAATAAGGCACGAACTGATTTTCATCTCACCTTTCTATCAAGATTCGACCGATTCACTTCTGGAACATCTATTTATATCTTCATATTCTATAGCTCGATTGCTCGGTTAAGTGCTAAGTAAATGACATACATGAAGAATAATCAACCAAAAGCATTCCCGATATAATACGCGTCGAGGTCGCGTAATCCTTCGCTACGTGTTGTATTTCTTAATCAGCCGTCTATGTCATTAATCAACCGACACTGCGGCATAAGTGTAGGAGCATGCAGCGGGACAACAGGACGGTGGCAAGGAAAGTGGAATAGAGAAAGCAGCACCGTTTGCTGAGGTGAGAAGAGGCTATTCGTGGGCGGACACGCGCGGCGTAGTCAGTGAATCAGCAGGATACCGCACCTGATCAATTAAGCTGCTAATCGTGCCGAAATCACTGGTCACTATCGCCACTATTATCCGTTGGACATCCTCCATTATCTTGCATATCGAAACTCCGGTTATGTGTTCTATTCATTTTCTAGCATCATCATCTTCCAACGTTTCGTCTTCTCGTTTTGAATCACTCCTCGCTTTAGGTCGATTAAATAGTAATTAGATGGACGAGGGACTGGGACGATTCAGATATTATAAATCGGTTATTCTTTATAAATCGCTGCCAGCTGCTCGTTGAGGCGGTGACAACGAGCATGAGTACGAGCGTGACAGCAATAAGCTGGCGCGGCCCTCGTATCTCGCACGACTAATCGAGGCCTGGAATCAGGGCTTGCCTGCCACTCTTACCTCTACCATGAACATTGAAGAGCGGCGTCACGAGCGCTACCCACGGAGAAACTACCCCTTGGATTCGGATCCACTAGGGGCGGATTGCGCCACGCTAGAGATATATCCGGTGGCGCAGAGCGTAAAGTTCTCCAGCTAGAGACTCGTTCAATTGCGCGGGCGCACGCGCATTCTTAATCCATTGCGAGATTCTTTCACGCCTTACACGGTACTAACAAGAATAATGTGAATTTTTTATGGAGACTAAACTTACATTTAGTGCCTGACATTTTCTCTTCCATCTAACACTTTTGTCAAGTGTTTTCTTATGTCGATAGCGTCTGTATTTCTTTCCTAATGTTTGAAAGATATTTCTCTTTACGCTTAAGTATATTTATATTACTATTATATTTATACCACTATTAAAGAAAGTTATTAATAAATGTCAGAAGTGAACATGCCTTAAAAAATAAATAATTAGTTATTAAGGCGAATGAGGTGAAATTGCGTAGACAAAATAATTTTTATACATAAAAAGTAATGATTTTATTTAAGTTAAAGTTTGTTTGCTTCTTTTCCTCTTACTTTTGACTTCATTTTTTAATAACATATTCGGTCTGAGCGGGTTTGCATCAATCTGGATTGGATTAATGACATTGTACGCTCTCTTATTGGTAGAACATGTGACGACAACCAATAGAACGTAATCCAACTCAAATCGATGTAAACCCGGTTGGGTTTACATCGATTTGGGTTGGATTACGTTCTATTGGTTGACGTCGAAAACGCTATTAAAAAATGCAATTAAAAGGAGAAAAGGAGAGACAAACAGATTTTTAATTATAATATATATTTAGCTGTAAATTTAATAGAAAATTAAATATTATTTAATTAAAATTATATAACGCATTTATCTTTTTATATATTTAATGTATATTATTACTGATGTATATATTATTTGAAACAATATCTTTTGATTGCAAAATTAATTATCACTACCATTGCAATAGAAACCTCTTCAAGTTTTATTTTTATTTTACCATATATTACATGAATATTTAAGTTATATATTTGTTTTTGCGTATATTATCCTATTTGATTTCAATTAATTTATAATATTTGTACGTTAAGCGAACGAAATGTGCTTATTTTACTGCGAATTTTCTTAACTACGGTCGGTATTCATAGTCAGTTCTTATTTTAAGACTGTGTTAAGTAATGTCTTAAGCTGCTAATATAGTTCTCTGATCGATTTATGACATCTTTAAGACTGTACTTAAGATAGTTTTAAATATAAGAATCGACTATGAATACTGGCCTACGTATAATCTTTTTTATATTTCATGGCGACATGTCTGTGATTCCTTTTCTCGTATCTTTTTTTATGGAGCAACCACCTGTTTAACTCCTTCAAAATAGACACTTCCAACTGCATGCATTCCCATTTTTGTCTAACCTTAATATTACACCCTTTCGCATCATTTTATACTTTTTACATAGATCGAAACTTCAATAATGCTTTATTAAAATGTTATTTTTCTATCGATTTTTAATTGCAAAATTAGTTATTCTAATTAATCTTAAACAATGGTATGGATTCATTATAAAATATATAGCATTATCGCACGCTTTTCTTTTATCTATCTGATAAAATTCATATTTATTTCTTACTTCGAAGGTTAGGTGCAACTATTTCCTATATTGTCCACAATTTTTCAATTATGTAATTTAGTGAATTCAATGATTTTTGAATGAAAAACGATGTGAAAGAATATATTTTTATAAATCGAACTCTAACGATGTCGATAATACAAACTCTTCAATTCTAAATTAAGAATATCTTTAATAGTAATATCTTTAATAGTGATATCTTTAATGCAGTGACGGTATTTTAGCTTTTTTAAAATAACACTTTACTCCAAAAAATTAAAACTAACGTGTGAAACTGCTTACAACGAAGTTAGTACGTAATTATATGTCCATTTTTTTAGAAAAAAATAATTTTTCACAATTAAGCAAAAATCATTCATTCTTCCCTTGGAGCGAAATTTTTCGGTCTATTAAAATCTCCAAATTTATTCCTTTTTAACAATATAACGAATTAGCAATAACTTCTCAGTTGAGTGAACTTTTCAACTCTTGCAGTAAAATTCACTGCAGCAGCAGATTTAATGATTTAATTACTACTAATGTTTGGAGTGAAATCTCAGCTCATTGTAGTAAAAATTTTGCTACTAAACGTTTAGAGTGAATTCTTTTAATAAGCTTCCAAGATAAAACCTTCTTATATAAAATTTATAATACATATAGAGTATATTTGATATTAGGTGTAACACTGTAGATAGGTAGAGATAGGTAGAGCGGACTAAATTAAATCGAAAAGTCCTGTATTATTTGGCAGTTTTGCAAAAATTACTAACCAAAACATTAATTATTAAAAATCACAGAATAAATGCATATCCGTCCAGCCCACACAAGTGCGCGGCGAAATGCGACCATCCAGCGCTCGAGGTCGCCAGCGCGCGTCGCGCGATGCGAGGCCGATGGGGAGTTGTTTACATTTGTGTTCCGTTATTCGCTGCGAGTACTGAAAATCTATAATATACATAACGTAAATTATAATAAGTTTTCAGTATTTAATCACTCGATAATTTCACTTAAATATATTGGCAATTTAATTAATTTCTTGGATTTTAAAAAATTCGAATTTGTATTCTAAAAATCTCTAAAAATTTCCAGGAATGTTTTTTGATGAATAGAACATCACCGATATTTTGCATAATTTTTCATGAATTTAGAAAAGAGAAAAAAATTATAAAATAAATATATTTTTAATCGCCATTCTCGCAATGGTGAGGATAGGGAGTTAAAACTTGATGAAAATGTTTCATTCATGGAGGTCTAACAACTGACGTATAGCAAGTCTAATTTGGCATGGGAGCCAAATTTTATACACATATTATATACTTACATTCTTTGATTACATGGTAAATATTATAGTATTTAAAAAGTAGATTATTCTGCTTAATTTTCTCTCTCTCTCTCTCTCTCTCTCTCTCTCTCTTTCTCGCCCGCTGTAATTAGATAGAAATTCAACTTATGCTTGATATATTTGGTATCTCTTTTCAAATATTGAATAATCTCTTATATATTTTTTAAATCTCTATTTATTTGAAGAGTATTAAATTTTAACGATGAGTAAAGAATATAATTTTAGTTTAATTTTTTCAGTTTTTAAAAAAATCGGTGAGACCATTACATTATAAATTCTTTTGATTTGTTTTTATAAAACATGATAAACGTATATTGTCTAATTTCTGTTTAAATTCAATCAATTTATAAAATTGTAAAATTATATTTTATGTTACGGATGCAGAGCGTCCCGCCCTTTTTTATCAAACGATCCATACCAATCTTCATTAAATCTAAATGAATCCCCCCTCCCTACACCACGGTTGCAATCAATATGAAAATCGGTTGTTTTTAAAGATGGTCGTCGGCCGTTTTTGCAAGACAACCACCCGGATGCACTGCACCCTTTGAACCCCGGTTTAAACGGCCCTGATCTTTCTCCCCAGAATTGTTGTCGTCCCTGAGATGTAACCTGTTGCGACGCACGCACCCTTTCCTGTCTCATCTTCATGCTCGATATCCATCGTCTCTTCCATCTTTCGTCCCTAAGGATTTCTCTCTCCCATCCCCTCTCTTTCTCTTTCTCTCTCTCTCTCTCTCTCTCTCGCCCTCTCTCGCTTTCTCTCTCTGCATCCCTCAGTGGTGAAACCGGCCGCCCACCACCCCCAACCTCCAGCACTACCCCCAGCTACCAGCTATGCTCAACAGCGAATCGTTTTCTGGTGGTGCACAACGAGCCCTGGCAATGGTCGGGCGCGTATAAAGTCAGTCGGGCTAGCCCAGTATCGTGGTACAGTGATACCTAGTAACACACATCCATGTCAGGTCGTGATAGACATACCGAGAACGGGATCAAAAATCGATAAAAGATATTTCGTATTTTCGTATGCGAGGGTGCTTAAATGAATCTAAATTGTGATTGGGTGGTAATTGTAACCGATTATAACGCGATCGTTATACAATCAATAGTGTATCGAGATCCTAACGAGGGTAAAAATACAATTAATCATTATTGCGTGTCACGAAACCGAAGCTGTTCGCTTGTTACTACTCGGGCGACTGACAATGAATCATGTCAGCGTAGCGTCTAACTAATTGTAATTCGTTATTCAGTTCAGACATTTATTTCGTTCTTAGTGGAGAGAGAGAAAGAGAGAGAGAGATATATATATATATATAGAGAGAGAGAGAGAGAGAGAAAATTGGCAGCTGTGACGTAAAATTAATTGGATCGGGCTACGAGTAGAGTAACGAGCTGTGGCCGTGCACGACCGCTGAACCATAATGAAATCAGATATCCCTTTATTCAGTTTTATACGCGATTAACAGAAAATGTGATGAGCGATTGTGATGAGTATGAATTCTGTTGATGTCTTGTTGAACAAGATAAATTTGTAGATTAGGACAAAAATAGACAAATACAAAAAAAAAATAATTATAATCTTTAAGAAACTTAAATTCAAGCCAGATAATGATAATATAATTTTATCGTTATCTGGCTTGGATTTAAGTTCTTTAATATAATTCTATCTCCAGATAACGATAATATAATTTTCGAGGAACCTAAGTAGGTACGTCAATCATATAATAAAATCGATTTTGGTCGATTAGAATAATTATCAAGTGGCATGTGAGAATATCGCCTATTTGTTTTTCATAGTATTTATTGAAAATCAATCTAGAATTCTTTTTTGACTAAATGATTTGTATTACAATGATTCTCATGACGTGCAAATCCAATAATTGATGTAACATTTGAAAAAAAAATTAAGATAGTATAAGAGTTTTAATAATATTAATTATTTCTTCATAATAATGTTATTATGTTATATATGTTATATATAAGTGTGAAGATAAGAAAGAAAAAATAAATTTCGAGTACTTGATTATATGTGTTAATAACTTAAACTTTAGGAATAATTTTCTACATGGAAAAGTTTTACGTGCTTTTTTAAATTAAATTCAATAAAATGTAAATGCGAGTTATGTAAAATTAATATTCGATCTTTCAGAACATAAAGCTGTGTTCAATATTATATTACAGAATACCATTACACAAGCATACAAAAAATATTTTGTTTTTTTACTTAGGAACGACGGTATATAATTCTGAAGGTTTCTAACATGATAAAATCCGTATCCCAAATTGTTCCATTACATCAAATTTCCGAAATATTTTAATCTTAAGATTCCAAAAAGGTCTATATCGTAAATCTGATGTGATGGAGAAATATGGGTTGCGGGTTTGACTTCAGCATAAAAAAATCTAAGAAAATCAGCTGTTAGGTTTTATAAGTAAGTCATAGGCTGTGTTTCGTTATTCCTGCAAATATAAAAAATTTATAGTATCGTAACGTGAACTATAAATTTTCAGTACCTGCAATGAATAATGGAACGTAGCCATAATGGAATAAAAAAAATTAAGTATTGCAAGTATGCTCAATGCATTTAGTCAAACTCAGATAAAAAATTAAAACTAAAAAAAATATATTTTAAAATAAAAAAATATGAAAAAAATATTAAACAAGGTTAATGATCGAGCCAAAGATGTGGTTGACAATTTGAATTAATATTTAATCGAACATAACAAATTTAAAATACGTTACGGGACCACCCGTCCTTCTTCAGTTATATATTAGATAAAAAATGATTGAAAAAGTTAGGTAAAAAAAAATATGAATTGGTAACCATTACGTTCCCATTTGTGTCTCCGAGTTCGGTTCACAGGTGATTTTCACAGATTTTTGCTGAAGTCAAATTCGCAACTTATATTTTTCCTTCACATCTGATTTACGAGATATTTGAATTTATTTATTCCAAAAATGCTCGAAATAGGTTTTTTTGGAACTATAAAGTTAGAACATCTCGAAAATTTAACGTGATGGAGTAATTTGGACTATGGATTTGTTTTTAGCATGCCAAAAATTTTAGGATTTTATATACTGCCATTTCTGAGTCAAAATTTATTTCGGTTTGTATTATTATCTATACATTGTTTCAGCAGTTTATTGATTTTTATTCAATATCAAAGCAGTAGTTTATACAATTTTGTTAGCGTATGTTAATCATTCACATTTTCAAATTTATAAGCTAAATAAATTATTGTGAACCATCTAATACTTTTGTGACAAAAATCTAATATATTGTATTAAAAGTATGAATTAGTATTTTTTTTTAACAAAGTAGATGTCTCTAACGTTTTAATTTTTCGCAAGTTAAGAAAAATTCGAAATTGGCTGCAAATGTACGACAATATCGTAGCATGACTAATTGATTTAACGAAAATAAATTATGCTGTAGGCAAATGTATCTTTATTATACTTCAAATGGTTAATTAATGTGTCTGATTTTATTGACAGTGAACAAAATAACAAACTACGCGAAATATTGAAAATACTATTTGTCGATGCAAGATTATTTAAGTATACATTAATTGAATCAATAACAGATATAGCGGATTAGATATGCATTTAATTGTTTTCAATTTTTAACGACTTACCTTCGCTTTCAATCAACCTACTTCCCACATAACATTTATGTTGCATAAGATATCTAAAGACGTCTTTTAGATATCTTATGCAACATGTATGTTATCTGGATTGGTAGATTCTTCTTTCAGTACGCTATGTAACATTTATAATATTATAATAAAAGCTTTAGAGGGGTGGGCGGAGGATATTAATAGCACTTCTACTAAAAGCTTTTATACTATTAATTTATGTGAAAATTTACTTGCGTTAATAGTCAAGCGAGTAAATAAATATTGATTTTTATCAAAAAAAGACATAGAGATTCACGTGCGACTTTCTGTGAAATTGTTATTCCACGTCGAGACAAATTCAAATTGTTTCCTAATCATTCGGAAAACTACGTCACTTTCCAAATACTCCGGACGCGAATGTAAACTTTTGTGTTTGCTCGAGAGAATCGTGTAAGGTACTCCAGAATTGATTACTGAAGTAGTGGAATCGCAAGTGTTTAGCGCGAATGACCACAAAGTGGTTTCACGATTACAGGTACATACAAAAGCGGTAAATAGGTTGTGCCAGATCCGAATCATCGACATCTTTTTGTTAATTATCTCGGAGAAGTTCTCGCCGTGTTAAATTAAAAGTTGCGCGTATTGCCGAGGAAACAATAGTGGACGTACAGTAAATCGAGAATCAAGCCAGCAGACTCGTCTCGCGACTTCCTTGAACTCAGACAGTTTTACACACATTCGTCAAAGTGCCGGACAAATTGTCAGAGGTTCTGGGCGATGTCCTGGAATTATGCGGCGGAGGCGGAGGCGGAGGCGGAAGTGGTGCTGCAACTGGCGATAAAAACACGTCAAGGAACACATCGAGCGGAAGCGCGGCTACTAAGATCGGCGCTATGACAGGAGTAGCGATAATCAAGGGTAGATGGGCCCCAAGAAGCACACGTTCGCAGCTCTCTTCCATTGCTAATACCGATAGTGCCGACAGTACAACTTCGACCAGTTCGGAGGTACAGCTGTATATTTTAGAATTGTACAAAATGTTGAATATTTACTAATGACTTATCCTGGCGAAAATAAAGATCGAAACGTATGTCGATGCGGGGGTGGGCAGTATTTGAATATATTTTGTATTTTGTATTTTCAAACATTTTTTATAGTATTGTACTTTGCATTTTGCGTTTAAATGCTTTTTTAACAGTATTTTGTATTTTATTTGTAAATACATTTAAATTATTATTAACATTAAAATTTTTTTTTATGAAAACCACATCATTGTTGACTCAATCTATATATAGCCTTATGTCTCAGCATTTATTTTACATTAAATATCAAATGGCATAGATGATAAGATACTGATAGTAAGAGTAAGAGAATTAATGCTCCGCATAATTATATAGGAATATAGAGAACAGTGAATAAGAATTTCAATCTATCAGAAACTGTATTTCACAGTACATGATATAATTTTTAACGTTTTTTGTCCACCCCTGCGTTAGATAATTTTAAATAAAATTGGAAAATAATATTTTGTATTTGGAAAAGTATTTATTAAATACTATTTTGTTTTTTGTATTTAAATATTTGTTTGTATTCAATTTACGTTCTAATTTTATTTTCTCCAAAATAATTCTTATAATACAAAATATTATTTTATGTTTCTTTAATCAATTTTTCTGGGGTATTTACATATATCTACATTTTATATTTTCTATTCCATATGCAAAATACATTTTTATTATACCGTGCTCAATTAATTTATATTCGAATATATGAAATCTTTGTTACTTTTAATTCAATTACTTCTAATTCAAGAGCTGAAAATTAAATCGAAAGACACTTTAACCAATTTCGAACAAGCTAAACTTAAGATTCAGTAAGATATCTATAAAGAATTGAGATCTTCTTTAAGATTCTTTTAAATTTTGTTCAAGACAAAAATCGCAAAAATATCATCTCGGATTATTCACGAAAACTTTAGACGCACGCGATAGTGCTTTGTTCCTTCAACACTTCGGAAATCTGAATGCACTTGTTGCGTCCTATATTATGGGCGTCTCTCTTTATTACGTGCGTCACTTTACTTACTGTTTCCCTGCATATCGCGACGATTTTACGTCGCATGTGCAACTAATCTCGCATGGATTTAATCATAATTGCTCTTTATCTTTCAAGTAATGCTACTTCTTTAGTATGCAATTTTATGATAATTTATTTTCCAGAACATTTGACTTTGACAATATTTAAAGAAAAATTGAAACTTATAAAAATATTGGAATTGAAATTGATAAAAAATCGTAAAAAAATAAAATTCTGAAATAAAACTTATATAAGTTTATCGAGATGTTGTTCATGTAATCGAATCACTATAAGTAAATTGAGTTTTAGAGAGCTCGTTACAGAAAAAATTTATTGTTATCTATCGATACTGGCATTGGCCCACCCAAAAGACAATTTGAATAAAAAGTTTAAATTCGGAATTCTTATACAACATCTAAAAGACGTTTTAAAGACGCTTTTGTAAAAACTGTCTGAAAAACACATAAAAGATGTCTTATGATTTTAGTCTTTGTATCATTTGAGTAAACGCTTATACAAGATATCAAACTGAACAAAGAATACAAGAGCTAAACACTTTTATTTTGCTATACTTTATTTTTTACTATCTCTTTACACACTTATGTATCATCAAATAACTATTAAATCTTTTACAATCCCTATAATAATTATTCTATGTGGATTATGTTATTGCGCTACTTACTACATTGACAAATCGATTCAACTAACGATTTATTAATATTAACGGTAAAAAAACTAAAATTATAACACAATACTAATATAACATTGAGTGGTTGCGTACAAATTACTCTTACTCCTTTGTTTTCATTTCTGCGTAAATCCCCGCGTGGCATAAATACCGGAGTTATCTCCTAAATTCTTTTTCCGTTTTTGCAAACAGTAAACTTTTTATTAATTTGTTTTCATAATTACACCAAGCGCATGCTATTTTTTAAATTTAACAAATATAATATAATTTATATTTTTATAATTTAACAAATATAATACATTACAATTTTAATAAAAAAAAACACATTAAAGATATAGAAACCACTTTTATAAAAACAATTTTTAATCATAAAAGCAAATTAGTCAAAAAAATTACATGTTTCCAGAAACGACAAAAAAATTATACAGAAGTAATAATTTAAAAGAAATATACACATATATGCGTGTAAAAAAATTCAAAGTAAATCTTTTTATAGGAACAACTTTTACAGTGGTATAATACGTAATTGATCAAACGCACAAAGTAATTTTTCGTTTCTACGTTCAATTCGATCATAAAAATTTAATTAAATTTCGATGTTAAAAAACAATTTTAGTTTCATATATATATGTAACCAATATAATTTTAAATGAAATACTTAACAAGCAAATTTAATACTAAAAAATTTATTTTTTGGAGAAGCGTCTATTTTAATTTGCATTATTACATTCTGAAATACTCAGTAGTATATAACTTCAATTATTTCTAATTAAATTTGAATATATATAAAATTAACAGATTTAATAATAATAGACGCTTTATTAATTATATGTAGATTTAAATTTAATTCTTGCACGTTTCATATCCTCGTTTCATATCGCTTTTATTCTAAGAATTCACCTGGGTCACTTATTTTAATTATGTTTATACTAAATTCTGCCTTTAGTATTCATTACACATGGTTGATGATGGTACATTTTCCAAGTGAACATATTTTACTCCCTCACTCCGTGCGAGCTCATCGTTCGTCCTCGACTATTCTGTTCGCCTCTTATATGAGGCTTCATTTCAGAAATGGAATGTTTTATCTACTACAAGGAACTTTGTTCCAGTATGCTGCGTAGCCGTCATCACTATGTCGGGCAAAATTTGCGTGATAAAAGGAGTTCATTTTTCTGCCATGAGGTAAAAATTAAAGCGAACGTCGTAACAAAAAAGTTTTATGGGAAGAAAAAGAAAGAATTTTTGTATCGTGTGTGCGTATGAATTTTTAATATCGTCATTTCACAGTTTCACGTTTCTCCGTATGTATTATTGAGACAACTTTAATTCAAATTTCAAAAAGAAAGATTTCAAAAAAAAAGCACACAGTTTTTTCTAATTATTATAATTAGAATAATTTTCACAATGAACTATCGTACATTTTTTAGGGGGATACAAAATTTTAAAAAAAGGAACTTAAAGAATTGGAATTAGCAGAAGTGTTAAAAGAAGCTGAAACTTTCTTTCCAGCAACGAAACATGCCTTGTATATTTCCTTAGTTTAACCGTGCACAACGAGCATCATTGAAAGGTCTTTTAATACATTGCAAAAAATGAAAACCTGCAATCAACAATGTCGGAAAATCACATCAATAAACTAAGTATGCACAAAAAACAGTGCTTGCGAAGAAAAAGAAAGCTGAAGAAATATTAAGAAAGTTCACTAAAATCCTTAAAAACAAGTTTTAATATATAGGTGTATTTTAATAAGTTTATGTGAAGGTAAATTTCATCCTCTCCCCGATCGAAATTCCACGTACATCCATGCGTGTAGCTAATGTTTGTATATTACTATTATAAACGTTTAACATAAAAAATTAAAAATTTTATTCTCTGAAGAGAAATAAAAATATTATTTTAAATAAAAAGGAAAATTAACAATTAATTTTAAATTAAGATAAATAGCACCGTTTCTGTATAATCTCAATGTTGATAGTATCGATTTCATATATCTTTATTCATTGACACTAAATTTAAAATAATGAAAGTAAACGCAGTTAACAGACGCAAAAAATTATAGACATGATTTAAATATAATACGTACAAGAATTTTTTTATTTAAATTGTTTAAACTCGTTTTAACTCACTTTGAAGTCTTCATCTGCCAATATTAATCTTTTTGGTTAGCTATCTACACTTCAGGTCAGTCACTTCTGGATTTTCAAACCCAAAGCGAGAAAAAAATCTTTGGTTTGTGAATAATCTTAAATACATGAGGAAATACATAAAGAATGAGGAAAATATTAAAATGTAAACGCAATTTTTCGCGACTTTAACCGTAAATTCGTGAAGACAAATAAAATTCTGCATCATGATACAGTTAAATAAATAAATAAAAACTAGATAGTTATACGTTCAACGTCTGAGAAAAGTTTTTTTTCATTGTTCTCGATAATTTTACATGTCCTTCGTACGCGGTAGCAATTTCTTTGACGATGAAATGTGCGTCGTAGCCCGATGAATTATGGAAAGCTACAGGTATGCAATGCAAATCTTTTTTTTTATCATACACATTTACAGGTCTTTTAAAAATAAATTGAAGCACATATTAAATTCGTAAGGCATCAAATAATGTAAGCAATAGTATTGTTCTACTCAAATTTATTATATGAGAGGATTCGTTAATTAGTATATATTTACATATCACACTTAGATTCTTATGTTAATTTTTGTATGCAACAAATATAGATCTTAATCGATGAAATAATATCGCCGATAGCAAAATGATGACAATTTTTATGTTTTGGTTTGTTGGGCGGAACCGTGGATTCCGTTCATGCTCTGTTCCAAATATCGACCCGTCAAAGGCAGCTTCTAGCGACCTCACGTAACTATACCTACCCTCTCGTTACGATGAAACACGAAGTTGGTATCTTTGAGTCTTTCTTTTCCTCTCCCTCTGACTTCATAATTCAAAAGTTTATTCTTATCAAGGGCTTATGGAAGATACTTTGAAGCTTCAAAGAGGAATCATTTGACTATCTTCGCCATTTGAAGAACTACCCTTAAGACCCTTAAGATATCGAATAAAAATCGCATTTCTTTAAGAAGTATAATTATACTCATTACTCCGTTAGAGCCTCAAGATCTATTATTGGATGAGTTCAACAATTGCCATTCTAGACTTAAATTTATATTGAAATTCGATGGTGAACGATTAAACTTTTTAGACACATTTATTATATCGATTAATAATACATTAACATATGATTGATATCATAAATCTACATTTTTCGGAAGATATGTAAATTTTTTTTCTAATTACACTGTTTCTCAGAAGAGGGCCATTATCGTGGAGTTGGTAGACAATGTTATGTTTTTATCCCATCCTGAATTCCATAATAAAAATATTAATTTATTAATTGCCTTTTTTCTGACGAATCACCCCATATATTTTATTTTTAAAACAATTGAGAAAAGAATTTTTATTAATATTCAACGGTATAATGATTCTAGCAAAAATCAATATTGCATTCATATCATCAAAATTTTTTTCATTCTTCCTTATGTATCTTAGATAAATTAACTAGATTTCTCAATAATTTTTTTAATTTAAAACTTGCATACTTCGATATAAATAAACTAAACAGATACATTAAACCACAAAAAGACTTCCGTCTTCGAACCGTTCAAGAGTAGTATACAAAATTAATTGTAAGGAACGCAATGCCTCATATGTGTAGGACAAACTTGCAAATTATTAAAAATTAGAGTTTCTAAACATAAAAACAGTAATACTAACGAATGTTCAGTGATTACAGACCATAGGTTGTTCACATAATTTTCATTGGAATAATTTGATAATCTTGGATGAGGAATTATAATACTCCATTATAATAAACAAATAAATTTGAATTCTGAAGCGATTTTTACCAAGAAACTGACTAATGGATTAAATTTACAAACTGATCAGATTTCCTTGATCTCCATTATAATGACGTTATCATTAGCTCGAGAAATTCTGTTGCTTCTTAATTTTATTATTACACTGTATATTTAAATATTTATATTTTTAGCGGAGTTTAGATGTGCTGATTTATGGGTTATCGTCGTGTCATAATTTATTCTTAACGCCAACGTTTCGTGAACCTTGCCGTTCGTTTCATCAGGGCGAGAAGATACTAGTACTGAGCTGCTCCTTCGGAAAATTCCCTTTATATAAACTTTGTTAAAGGGGAGTGTTTGGGGGAAGGGAAGAGGAGGAAGAGCGGTCTTCCGTATCTTACTTATGTTATAGCCCATATCTCTGTTTAAATTATCTAGAAGTTTCTAAAGCTTCCCCGTACTTCCTTGGAAAATATGATGCCGTTGTAGCTATAATAGTCGTTTTATCAAATAGTATTTGATGGTGTCCTGACTCTCAATTCTGTGTTCTACCAATGCTGACTGTGTGACAGATTTTAGTATAACATTCCGTTGATTTTCCTTCATGCGCGCATTGATCGTTCTCCCGGTTTCACCGATGTATACTTTCCCGCAGGAGCAAGGTATTTTATATAATCTTACAAAATTGAGTTGGAGACTTTCGGTCTTTAGGATTTTTCAAGATTCGCCCAATCTCCCTTGGAGACTTAAAAATGATTTAGATATTGTGTTTGTTCAAAATCCTGCTGATTTAGTCTGTTGTTCCTTTTACATATGGGAGAAAAGTTTCTTATTTAACCCTATTCTTTTTGTTCTGAGATCTTGTGTTTGCTGATTGTGTTTATATCTTCCTTAATGTATCCATTTCATTACAAGATTTATTTTAAGTGGCTGAGTTCTGTTTGCAGGTGTTCTTTCTCAGAGATATTTAATGTTTTATGCACAAATAAGTGCTTGTTTTTGTGCTGGATGGTGGTGTGATTCGATATGTAGATATCTATCAGTGTGTGTTGGCTTCCTGTATATTTGATAGCCTCAGGATATATTGTCAGCCTTTTTTGTGACAAGAACATCCAGGAAGGGGAGCTGTCCATTTTCTTCTATGTCCATAGTAAACCAGATACTGGTGTTAAAGTATTGGGATTGTAAAGTTCTCCAATTGGAGCAAAATTGGATTGAGAGTTACATGTCCGCATGCGTTTTTATATATATTTAATTAAGAATCTACTCAGCGAGCTTCCTATTGATTTATTGTTGGCATATTAAAGAAAATTCTAATGGTTCTAACTTTTCATTTCAGGAATTTAATGTCGCGAAGGAACAGCACACGGTACAATCATCGACAACCGAATTGGGTAATTATATATGAATGCTTTTAGAGGGATCCTATAATTTTTTTGTAAATATATTAATTGTTGTCTCGTTAACTGCCGAAAGTTCGTAGATCGATTTATTTTATAAAATGATTTAAAAAATATAATTATTTTTTTTTATAAATTAAAACTTATAAAGGTGGCTTAAAATATAAACAGTACAAATAAAGAGCAAACAGCCACAATGCAGAATATTGTTAGCGAATCATCAGTGTATGCACGAATTGCAAGCAGAATTAAATATCTATAGATGTTATAACATCATTTTCGCACAAAAAATAATATAAATTTTTTTTAATTAAACGTATCTGTTATGCAATTATATTGTATACATACAGAAAGAGAGGTCGATTTTGCTGAAGTATCTAAAAATTTAGCTAGATTCAAATCTGAAAGTAATTTTGTTGGACTATTAAAATAATTATGTAGAACGCTCAAACTCGTTAGAATATCAAAACTTTTTGCAGTATTACTCTTCGTGTTTGAAATTCCTACATAATTATTTTAACGGTCTAACCAAATTATTTTCAGATCTGTATTTAGCTAAACTTTTAAATACTTGAGCAGAATCGTTCCTTCCGTAATAAAATTCAAACATATTCATTTAGTAGTTTTAATTTCTTTAAATAAATTCCCAAATATAGCCATTTTTTAATATGAAAAAGTAACTTGCCTCCTTAAAATTATGAAAATGATTCATAGGTATTTTTGTCTCTGAAAAATTACCAATATAAAAAAACACACTTAAGATTTTCTCCAATAATTTCTAATGCAACTATTTCGCGCATATTTTATTATGCATTTAGAGATTTTTTCTCAATATCGATGCGTTCGGCACATCATTATTCATTCTCACGGATAGAACGAAGAAATTTATAATAAACTAAATAAACCATCATCGCGCATAATTGCAAGACTTTGGAAAGTTATTTCCTTCAGCTATTAATATGATAATTTTTCAATCCGCTTAATTTTATGTAATACGTTTTCCTTGGAGGCTTACCCCATCAAAGTCGCAGTTATCCAAGTGATAGTGGAAGTAGCGGTCGAACATTGGCGAGAGACTCATCTATCAGCTCACAGAGTTTGCCGAAGGGTGCATCTTGCTCTTCAAATTATCGGGGATCATCACCTCAAATCAGAGCATTCGATCCGAACGGACGGCATCATGTTCAACATCAACCTTTACACGCCGCCTCTTCGTATCCACCTGGCAGTAGAAGCTCGAGGTCAATAGAAAAAGATATGATCCATTTCGGAAAAGACATTAAAAATACAAAAAAGGCTTCAAGTATATTTTGCAATACCTATCTTTACGTAAAATCATTTTGTAAATGTATTCTAAAACATATAATAAAAAAATAAAAATAACATTAAAAAAGGAAGTAAAATTAAAATGCAACGTTTTACGCAAAATACGATACGTGGATGTATAATAGTTTGGAAATTTTTCACAGATCTCCTTCGCCAGCTCGTGCAGCATCTTTGGATGCACGTTGTGCAAGTCCTGCCAATTACACGGGCAGCCTGCATGGTGGAAATGCGTCACCTTCACAGACCTCTTTATCGTCCGTAGCAACGGGTATAAGTTCCACTTGCGGGTGTTCGCCGATAAATGCCGTTCAAAGTACTTCCAGACAGACCAGTCGTTGCTTATCACCCCTTCTCATCCCATCGCCGCATGCTTCTATAAGGTAAATAATTATAAAATTCTCATAAATATATTGAAAACGTTATTTCTACATAAAGGAGATATAATAATATTCAGATAAATACACGACGAAAGTGTCAAGAGATATCCATTTTTATATACATATGTCTAATATATTATAATATGTATCAGTATAATATTATTTTTATAGAACAATTAATTCTAAAATTTTAATAAATATGGATTGAGATTATTCTTTTTTCTATAAATAAATCTTTAAATAAATATTCTGATAATAATATTAGTTTTCATTTCTTTCTGTTATGAGGCATTGGCTAGAAAGAGACTTGTGTTATCAATAGTTATATTAAAGTTTTATTGAGCTTTTATTAATATTAATAACACAGAAAAATGTCATAAAACTTATTGCTGTAGTAGCGATAGTGGTCCTGTTCCACCTGCTTCTCCTCTTGGTTCTTTACAACCGGATCTTTATCAAAGACGTGACGGTCCTGTCTTTCTTAGTGCTCGCAGGTACATAATAGAACTTTGCTTATAAAATATTGCTGATGATATTAAACTGGTATCTCCCGCTATGTTAAAAAAAAACAATTTTTATGCAATCGCAGGACGGGAAAGCATTTGGGCAGGCTTCACCTGCGCTTGAGATACGATTTTGATAAATCAGATTTGGATGTGCATTTAATCGAGGCACACAATCTCGCAGGCAGCGACCAAGGTGGTTTTAACGATCCCTATGTTAAGTTGACTCTTAGCCCGGAAGTGGACAGCAGGAAAAGACAAACACAGATCCATCGAAATGATCCAAATCCATTTTTTGATCAGCGTTTCAAATTTCCCGTTAGCTACGAAGAACTGCAGGAGAAGACTCTAGTTTTGCAGGCAATTACATATCATTGAATATTGTATAAAACGATCGATTTATATAATAGAACACATTCCCCAATTTAATCAAGATCTGAAATAACATATAATGTTGTAATTAGGTATTTGACTATGATCGTTTTTCAAGAAACGATATGGTGGGTTCGGTGAGAGTGGCCATGGATAGCCTCGAATTGGTTTCTTCTACTTCCTCGATAGAAGTTTGGGGTGAGATAACGAGGGAACGAAAACCACCAGAAGAAATTCAAGAGGTTTTGGTTTCATTATCTTACTTACCGAGTGCTGAGAGACTCACGGTTCTCATGATGAAAGCTAGAAATCTGTTTCTCCAAGAGGTAGAATATATATAATAATTAGATTATATTACATCGATATATATCAAAATAATAGTCAAAATAATGTCAATATGTGTCAGAATTAAGTATAAAAGATCTTGTAAATTATTGAATTTTTTATATCTCTGTCTTAATACTTTTATATGCAGAATAATTAGAGAATAATTCCGTTTAAAAAATAGATGTGACCTTTATATCTTTTTGACGCCTACACTTAAAAGAAAAACAACATGACCAAAGTACATCCCTCTTGAAACCGTTCCACTTTTATCTGAAACATTTTTTCCCATCATAAAAACCAAACGAGATATTTTAGATGTTCAAGTTAGGTGAGACATCCTGTATATCGTCTAATTATTTAGTAATTATCTTAAAACAATGAGCGTTCTAAATATGTGATACAGGATAAGGAAACATTGGATCCGTTCGCGAAAGTTAGTCTTCTCTGTGGAGAAAGAAAAGTAAAGAAGAAGAAGAAAACAGCCGTTAGGAAGGCTACGACAAATCCCGTTTGGAATGAAGCGATGTCGTTTAATATACCTGCCTCATTACTTGCATCGTCGGCTATAGAGGTATATATAACAGTCGATATGTTTTTTAAGTGCCCAAATAAAGCAGATGAAAAACACCTAAGTCAAATGAAATAAAAAAAATTAATTTATACATAATTATGTCTATGTAAGATATGCGTGTTGGACTCGAGCAGTGAACTCATCGGTGGAAATGCCATTGTCGGATCCTGCATCATTGGACCGGCTACAAGTGCGGACAGCGGTAACAGTCAAGGACGGGAGCACTGGCTTCAAATGACGCAGTCTCCGAGGAAGCAAATTGCTGAGTGGCACACGCTACACTAGTTTGATCATCGTTACGATCTAACCGTTTGATTGCCCGAATAATTCACGTCTTTGATCGAAGGAACTTCAATCTATCGTTGTGTAGCGTCGCATAACGAAGATCGAATGAACATATAACATACTAAAAATGTAGCGATTATATGTAAAATGGCAAAAAATAATATGTACTTCTCGTCTTAACAAAAAAAAAGAAAACAGAGAATCTCGTGACGCGTCAAGAAATCGTTCTTCTGCGTTTTTATAGATATATTGATCGTTAAAGATCCATAACATATATTTCGTCGCATTGAATGTCGATGCTCAAGAAGAAAAGAAAATAATCTTCATATAAATATTCTTCGTATATCCATAACAGAGACACTAACAAGCACTATACTTCTATTTTCATTCATTGCACAACAATTTGAGCTATACGCGTAGTCCAACTGCGCATTTCTTAATTTTGGATACCTAAACGATTTAGAGATGTATTTTTGAAATATTCATGCATTAATAAAGATTCTTCGCGAAATGACAATGAAGAAAACGTGATTCAAGCTGTGAAGCAAAAACAGAGACAGATTTCACGTTTCGCTTAACAGATCAATAATTAAATGTACAAACTAATAATTATAAAATAAGATACAACTTGAGAAGACAGTTATCAGGTCTAAGTACGCTCTAATTAAATCTGTGAATCTCTGTCTTTATTAAGAAGCTATCTTTCTCTCAGGTATGTCTCATATTTTTCTCATTATTATACTTCTACTCTTTCCTTCTCTTCTAAAAAAAAAAGGATTACATTGAAAACCTAAATTCTGTCATTGTATGACACATATGGTCTAAAAAAATATTTAAAGTATTCCGGCCGTGTCTATAGCTTATTGATTGATCAATAAAACCTAATATTCCTGCGAACAAAGCATGCTAATTGTGATAGCGTATTGATTGTCGTTATTAATGTGTATTTTGTCGAATGTATAATTCATATATGCTAAACTAAACAAATTGGAACATAATGTGTGTAAAAGAAGAAAACACAAAACGTCTTTCGTTTAATATCAAACATGATTAACTCAATAAAGACAAACATTAATTTGTCATCCACATAAATCATTCGTAGCAATGCTTAGCAAACAAACTAATGTTATTTGTCGTCATTTTGATGTCAAATAACGTTAAGGACATCATTTTGACAACAAATAATGTCAACTTGTTTGGTGAGTGTATCTACAAATATATGCACACAGTTATTCTTCTACTAAACCACAGAAATATTTAAGTCTGATTTTCACACGAATCAAATTACAAATAGGAAAAATATCCGACCAACACTCACTATTATATCTATCATATTAGGAATTTGTGTTTTTATTTATCAAATCTATTTCTTTTGATTTTAAATATTGAAAAACAATAAGCCTGCCGATTACCAGAGGGTTTAATCATATATGTGTACGTTGTATATCGTTACGTTTAAATGTCTACAATTTGTCAATCGAATTGCACTGTAATGACCAATTGTTGGAAAAAAAAGAATTAAATGTTAATGAATACTAAGTATATCTAAAGTAAATATTATAATAAATAAGTATATATGTATACACACATATGTAAAGAAAAAACCTCTAAAGATTTAAATGTGAAGAAACGTTTCCATGACATGTGGAAGCGCAGTTCAAATTGTACGCTTAAAACTTATATACATATAAATATATATTGGTAAATGTTCACTTTATGTAATGTTTCTCCGTTGACCTTGACCTTGACATATGTTGTCAGGATCATGATCCTGAGTGACTTTCAATAGGTTTTAGCTGTCGCTCGTTAATCGTTAAAAAGTTATTAACGAAAAAATTTTTTAAATGTCTTATTTCTCTGTCACATACAATATTCAGGGCATCCTTCACTTGCTTATGCAAGTAATGACTTTCCATGCAAAACGAGATCCACCTCATCTCCCCTTTGTTTAGCGGCGTTCGACTTTCCATGTGAAGTAAGATCGATAATTATTTGCATTAACGGATATCGCGCAGATGACCTTGACCTATATATGTTGTTAAGGTCACGATCCAACTAAGTTTGCCTTAATAACTGGATAATCTGCCGTAAAAACGGTCTGTTATATAATTTCTTAGATATTAAAGTTATAAAGTGTAATTTTAGTAATAAATTTGGTAATTATTTACGATAACGGACAACTTTGACCTTGACACATGTTGTAAAGATCATGACTCTGAATGACCTCCCCCGCCTCTGCTTAGAACATCTAACTTTGCATGTGAAATGAAGTTTACCTCACCAAGGGCATAACGACTTTTTATGCAGGTGGACCGATCGATCTTGCTTCGCGTAGAAAGTCATTACGTAAGCAGAGATGTGGGATAATCCTGAATACTAAATGTGGCAGAAATAAGACATTATAATAATATTATTTTTTCAATATTTTTTGTTAATAACTTTTTAGCGAATAATGTTTAAATACGAGTGATGACCTGTTGGAGGTCACTCATGAGTCATGATTTTGACAACAATGTCAAGGTCCAGGTCATTGTGTGTAGAAGTATCCCATAAAGTGAATTATTTACCTAAATATTTACGATATTTCTATTCTTGACATATACTACTAATATATTCTATATTATATGTATACTGTGAAAAATATTATAATTATATCAACGAAACATATATGGTAGAATTGATTTTGAGCAAACAAAATTTCTGGTTGAAATTGACTTGATATTTTATAACTAAAACATTTGTTAGACTTAATTACAGGGATTTAGTTAGTACTTTTTAGTTGAATCTCTGTAACTTTTAATTATGTTCATTAAACATTTTATTTATTAACAGTTAATGCCGATCTAACTAAATAAATTTATTATCATTATCAAGCAGTTTTAGTATTTAACAGAAAAGACGAACTCATAGAATTTGTGATCTATAATTATATGCAGGTATATTAACAAAACACTAGGTGTAGAAATATTAATATTTTGTAACATATTGATTTAAGTGCAATTGTAATTTCAAAATATTTTGGCAGAATCGTAACAATATGATAAATTATCTTAGTAATAAATTTGCAAAATTAAATTTGGAAGAAATTGTTTAATAATTAAAAAAAGAAAAATGTTTCAAATACATTATGTTTAAAAAAATATATAATTGTGTATGAAGGAATCAAATTAATTCGTATATACACTTACAAAAATATATAATTATTCCTAAATTAATATAGAAATATTACAACATAAAATAAAACACATTCAGTACGGCAATGTTTTAAATAAAAAATGGAATGTTTTATAAAATACGTATAACATTTCATTTTTTCTGTCTGTAACGATAATGATGTAGCCGTAACTTTCATCGTTATTTTAGTTTTTATTGGATGCCGTGGATCAGATTGGATATTTCGATATTGCTGGCATTCAAAGAGATGTTTCGGTTTATTATCTTTAAAAGTATACTTCTAGTTACCCAAGTTGTCTCGTCATTATAACAAATGAGCGGAACACTAAACATTTTTTTGAATGCTTATGATACATCTTTTCCACAATTACGCAAATATGTATCTACAAAGATAAAGTTCCGAATGCCTGAACTTTTCGATTTTGGTGTCGACTGGATAGACCGTATATTTGGTAAACTGACTACGAATATAATCATGAGAATTGCTGACAAGGTCATTTTCAACGTCAAATATTAGAAAAACGTACGTTTCAGACATTTTTTTACATTTGACATTAGAAATGATTTTGTCACCAATTTTCATGGTCATATTCGTTACCAGCACACCAAAATATAGTAGCATAACAGTTGATAGCAAAATCAGAAGTAGTCTTCTTTGCCTTCCAGCTCCTCTCAGAGATAAAAATATATTCTTCGTTCTCAACCTATCCCGGAATCAAGGACGTAATGAAGAACTATTTTTCATTTTTTTTCGAAACTTTTTATACTTTTTAAAGTTTTTGTATTTTTTCTTTTATATATATATACACACATATATATATATATATATATACACACATATAATAAATTAATTTAGTGCAATCGAAAAAATGGAGATCAATAATAGCGATTTGATGGAAAATATACGAATTTTACATATATATGTACGTATGCCTTCATTTTATACTTTCTCTTATAATGTATGTGTGCAATGAAATAACCGTATATTGAGTTTCAGTAAAAAAAATTGTTTCTTTAGCATAAATGTAACAGAACAATATCAAAATGTATATTAAATTTAACGAAATAAATTTTCATGACACTGTATTTACTATACAACATATACATACATCTGATAGATTTTTTTATCATTTATACATTTGTACATTGTATCATAGCAAATAGTAGCAGATTTTTACATATAAACTTCCTTCTCAAATGACAATGTGTTTTGTATAAGTTATTAAAGTAAAACTACATTCTATGATTACAAAAATTTTGAACTAATATTTTTTGTTAACTTATCTGTTTCTACGATATCAACAAACTTTTCTGAGCCCTTCTTCTGAACAGAAAGGGTTATGCTTGCTCCATTTTCATGCCACTTTGCTTTTAATAATACACAGCATCCTTTATCTGTAAAGAATTTTAATTTCATTAGAAAATCATAATATTTAAGCAAGAGAAAAAAAGTAAATACCAAGTTCTCCTCGTTCGTGAGCTGCTGCTAATTGGTTAACAACACGTCTTTCCACTTCATATTTAATAGAACGAGCACCATAATGGACATCGTACCCGTCTGCTAATACTGATAGAACCTCTCTATCCCATTTTAATTCAATCATATGTCTTCCTTTTGCGCGTTTAGCCCATGTTTTTAATTCTCTGGCGACTAATTCTATTAATTCTGCCCGAGAAAATGGTAAAAAATACACAATTTCATTTATTCTTCCTAAAAACTCGTCTCTCCGAAAATGATTTTTAAGTATTGGACGTACCTGTAAAATGATTTCATTATATAATTTTCTACATGTTTTAAAATATATATATCTCTTATACTTTTTTATTTTACATACCACTTGATCTTTAAAATTACGGGATATCTCGATACGTTCTGGCTCTTGATTTTCATCAGTAATGTTAGCTAATCTATGGTTTAATAATCTTTCAGCTTCTGCTCTGAGCTGTATTGCATGTTCTGCAATTTCTTCGCTTCCTAAATTTGATGTCATTATGAAAATGGCATTTTTACATTCGATTGTTTTACCTTTACCATCAGTTAGTCTTCCCTTAAAAGTAAATATTATTGCATTGAAGAATCCTAAATAGACTGATAAAAATAATTTAAATAGTAACAATAACTACCTCATCGAAAAGCTGCAGCAATACAGTTAAAACATCAGGGTGCGCTTTATCAACCTCATCAAATAATACAACAGCAGATGGATATTTTTTTAAAAGTTTCGTCAGTTGTCCACCATCATCATGTCCCACGTATCTAAACAATAAGTTTAACATTCATTGCTGTTATATTAAACAATAAATATAATTTAAAACATAAACCATTAAAAATAGTTAAGTTAAAATAAAAATAACTATACCCTGGTGGGGCTCCAATTAATTTTGCAACTTCGTGTTTTCCCTGATATTCAGACATATCCAATCGAATGAAACTATCTGCTTTGTTTCTGTGAATATAAGCAGCTAATTGCTTGGCTAATTCTGTTTTGCCAATGCCCGATGAACCCAAAAAGAGAAATACTAGTGGATGTTCTTCATCCATCCAACCATTTTCTTTCCTTCTGATAGCTAATATATTAGATAATGTTAATGAACTAATATGATAAAATTTTCTAATAAATTGATAAATTTATAGAATTCTTACTGGAAGCAACAATGGAAATTGAACCCTCTTGTCCTACAATATGTTGTTTCAAACGTTGTTCTAATGGAAATTTGCGACGTTCCTCTGCTTCCTAAGTAGAAAATTTTCGTTTATTTATATATATATTAGGGTCTCTCTCTCTCTCTCTCTCTCTCTCTCTCTCTCTCTCTCTCTCTCCGGAAATTCGAGGGTAACATTATTGCAACGTGAAATTTAAATAATAAAAGTATAAGCCACTTTTTTCTTATTATATAGTTTTTAAATATGAACGTTAAAATTTTGAAGTCAATTGTAAACGTTGATTAAAAAGTCATTTGTCCAGTATGGCTACAGCGACAATGTTTAGTTCAGTATCTAATACTATTGCACGCACATCACATGGACAGATGACTTTTAAACCAACGCTTATGATTAGTCTAACTTTAAATATTTATACATCCATTCCTAAAAAAAAGCGTTACATTAAAAATTTGAGAAAAATTAACGAAATTTCAAATGATC